GTTTCTAGAAATATATAAGCCTCCAAAATCAAATCAAAAAGAAACAGAAAATCTGAACGAACCATTAACTACTGATGAAATTGAATCAGTAATCAAAAACTCTCAAGAAACCAAATTCCCAGACCAGCTGGCTTCAGGTGAATTTTACCAGTCAAAGAATTACCACTTATTTTTCTCAAACTATTCCAAAAAATTCAAGAGGCAAAAAAGCTCCCAAGCTCATTTTACAAGGCTACCATCACCCTGATTCCAAAACCAGACAAAGACTTTACAAAAAAAGAAAATTATAGGCTGATATCCCTGATGAACATAGAAGCAAAAATCCACAACAAAATATCAGCAAACCGAATTCAGCAATACATTAAAAATATCAAATACCATGATCAAGTGGGATTTATTCCCGCGATGCAAAGATGATTCCATATCCGCAAGTCAATTAACATGATACATATTAACAAAATGAAGGATAAAAATCATATAATCATATCAATAGATGCAGAAAAGGAGATTGACAAAATTCAGCATCCATTTGTGCTAAAAAATATCAGCAAAGTGGCTATAGAAAGAACATATCTCAACATAATAAAGGCCATATATGATAAACCCAAAGCTAACATTGTACTCAATGTGGAAAAGCTAAAGGCATTCTCTGTAACATCAGAAAGAAGATAAAGATGTCCAATTTGACCACTTTTATTCAACATACTATTGGAAGTCCTAACCACAGCTATCAGACAAGAAAAAGAAATAAAATCCATCTAAATTGGAAATGAAGATGTAAAACTGTCATTTGCAGATGACATGATACTATATTTAGAGAACCCTAGAGATTCCACCAAAAACTATTAGATAAATGAATTCAGTAAAGTAGCAGGATATATCTGAATTAATATTCAGAAATTGGTTGCATTTTTATACACCAATAACAAACTATCAGTAATAGAAATTAAGAAAACAATCTCATTTACAATTGCATCGAAAAGAATAAAATAACTAGGAATTTAACCAAAGATGTAAAAGACCTGTACTCAGAAAACTATAAGACAATGAGGAAAGAAACTGAAGATGCAAATGAATGAAAGCATATACTGTGCTCATGCATAGGAAGAATTAACATCGTTAAATGTTTATACTACCCAAAGTAATCTAGAGTCAGTGCAATCCCTATCAAAATACCAATGGCATTTTTCAGAGAACTAGAATAATATTAAAATTTATATGGAAACACAAAGATCTCTAGCCAAAGCAATCTTCAGAAAAAAGAACAAAGGTGGAAGTATCATGATATCAAACTATACTATAAGGCTATAATAATCAAAATAGCATGGTACTGGCATAAAATGCATACATACACAAATGGAACATAATAGAGAACCCAGAAATAAACCCACGTCTATATGGTCAACTAACCTATGACAACAGAGGCAAGAATATATAATGGAGTAAAGACAGCCTATTCAATAAATGATGTTGGGAAAACTGGATAGATACATGCAAAAAAATGAAACTAGACCACTTTCATGGACCATATACAAGAATAAACTCAAAATAGATTAAAGACTTCAATGTAAGACCCAAAACCATAAAACTCCTGGAAGGAAATGAGGCAGTAAATTCTGTGACATTGCTTTTAGTAATATTTTTTTTTGGATACATCTCCTTGGGCAAAGAAACAAAAGAAAAAATAAACAGAACTATATCAAACTAAAAAGATTTTACACAGCAAAGAAAACCATGAACAAAATGAAAAAACAACCTATTGAATGGGAGATATATCGATAAGGAGTTAATATCTAAAATATGTAAGGAACTCAAACAACTTAACACCAAAAACACAAATAATCCAATTAAAAATTTGTCAGAGGATTTGAATAGACATTTCTCCAAAGAGGACATACAGACAGCCAACAGACATATGAAAAGATGCTCAATGTTGCTAATCATAAGAGAAATGCAAATTAAAATCATAATGAGATTTGATTATCCTACTTGTGAGAATGGCTATCATCAATAAATTCACACACAAGTGTTGTCAAGGATGTGGAAAAACAGGGAACCCTTGCGCACTGTTGGTGAGATTAGAAAATGGTGTAGCAGCTATGGAAAACAATATGGAGGTTCCTCAAAAAATTAAAAATAGAACTATCATTATGACCCAGCAATTCCACTTCTGGGTATTTATTTGACAAAATCCAAAACACTAATTTAAAAAGTCATATGCACCTCTATGTTCACTGCAGCATTATTTACATTAGTCAAGATACGGAAGTAACCTAAATGTCCACTGATAGACAAATGGATCAAAAAGAAGTGGTACATACATACAATGAAATATTACTCATCCATAAAAAGTGAAATGTTACAATTTGTGAGGGCATTGATGGACCTAAAGAGTATTATGCTAAGTGAAATAAGTCAAAGACAAATAGCATATATTTTCACTTACATGTGGACTACAGAAAACAAAATAAATGAACAAAGAAAACAGAAACAAACTAGATACAAAGAACGATTTGATGATTGCCAGAAGGGCGGGGGATTGAGCACTGGAGTGAAATGTTACAATTTGTGAGGACATTGATGGACCTAGAGAGTATTATGCTAAGTGAAATAAGTCAAAGACAAATACCATATATTTTCACTTACATGTGGACTATAGAAAACAAAATAAATGAACAAAGAAAACAGAAACAAACTAGATACAAAGAACGATTTGATGATTGCCAGAAGGGCGGGGGATTGAGCACTGGGTGAAAAATGTGAAAAGGATTAAGAAATACAAATTGACAGTTATAACAGTCAAAAGGATGTAAAGTACAGCACAGAGAATATAGTCAATAATATTGTAAGAACTATGTATGGTTCAGGTAGGTACTAGACTTATTGGAGTGAGTACTTCGTAAGGTATATAAATGTCTAATCACTGTGTTGTACACTGAAACTAATACAATATTATATGTCAACTGTAATTGAAAAAAAAATTTTTAAAAAAAGAAAATTAATTTATTGATATAAGCCTATTTACCTGTGTTGTGCCTGTCTACCGACCTAAAACTCATAGGCATGGGAGCATGTGATGAGGCACATCTGGATTTAAATAGGTCAGGCATCTGCAGGACAGGTGTAAACATGAAGCTCCCTATATTATCTTTTTCAATCAAAATCAGGTATAGAACATTCAAGTTCACTGGTCTGAGAATTTCAGAGCGCCCCAACTCCTTACACAGCTAATGTCCAGAGGTCACTCTGCCAGCAAAATTAAACCGTCTGCAGCTCTCTGGTAGTGTTCCCTGTGGTGAAATGTGATGCTGTCTGTAGAGAGTCAGAGAGCCAGCTCAGCCCTGGCATCTACTTACTGCCCTCACCTAGCCCCAGCCTCGCCTGTCAAGGGGGCTGAGCATATGGGCTTAGGGGTCAGGTGCTAGGTTCAATCCTGACCTCATTGCTGGCTGATAAGTTACTCACTCGTGTTTCCTCATCTAAAAATTGCACCTGCCTCATAAAGCTGTTGTGAGGACTAAATAAGAGAATGTTGGCAAATTGTGTGAAGCAGTGCATAAATGAAGAGGAAGTACTTAACAGGTGAGCTTTTACTGCCACTACAACTATAGCTATGACCGTTACCATTTACATGAAAAGACAAAAGCCTATTTTCAAATTAGTAAACTTATCTCATTCTAAGTATTTCATCTAATTATTAGTACATTAGTAAAAATTAGTAAAATTATTTCTCCTAATTTCCAAGTGCCCTGAGTGGGCCCTAACTCTTGCCTACTTACAGCCCCTTCACTAATCAACAGCCGGCTAAGGTAGGCACAGAAAGTAAAGTTAAACAATTGTGTTCATTATGAACCCACTGTGGTGCATCTGGTGGGAAAAGAGGCTAGGGCACTAGCCCCTGGCCACCTGCCTGAGTTCCAGGGAGGGAGATGACTGATGGGGAAAGAGAAGTTCCCAGAAAGAGAGGGCAGTAATCAATGCTGGACATCTCTGAGCAGAATCTAGTGCTTCTCAGACTGCAACGGTCTCTGTCTCTCCTGCAGAAGGGCTGCAGGGCCCACAGAGGGAAATGAACAAAATTCCGAGGATCTAGGAGCTCCCGGTTCCTCCTCCTCCTTCTCAGCTACATGTCTCGGGGCAAGTTACACCACTTCCTCATGTGCAGATGTGGACATTAGTAGCACCTACTCCACCCTCTGTGGGGAGGGTAAAAGGAGAAGCCTCCAAAGTGCTTCGCATCCTGTCTGGCACTGAAAAGGTGCTTGGAAATGGTAGCCACATTTCCAAGTGGTACAGTAGGAAATGTATTATCATTACTACTAATTCTTTCATACTCTACCACAATCCAAGTGAATGATGTATTACTGTGAATCACTGATGCATGAGACTTATGGTTTAAAAGGCCTCCGGTCTTTGGGTGAGTGATGAGGAGTAAGGAGGGATGCGGCTCTTTCCCCGCTCTGTTGCTCCCATGAGCACATGCTCACTCCATCTCTGCCACTTAGTAGGAATGAGTCAGCTGGCCAGGCCTCTGAGGACCAGCCTCAGTGAGAGAGAGAAGGAAGGGATTCAAAGAGGAGATGCCTTCGTGGGCTGGAGGGGACCTCATCTGGGTACTTGGAGTTAAGCTGTCTCTTAAAATTCATTCAATCATAATTCAAAGGATCAAAGTCATCTGAGGATCATGGGGACCAACACAGTTGGGATGCTAATGCTTGCCATAGGCTAATAAGCTACAAATCTAAGCCTATTATGTAGCTGCTAAACTCAGCTTTTGGTGATGACTTATAATTTCTCCATTTAAGAGGCAGCAAAACAGAAACCTTTCCCTGGCTCTAAGGAACTAGAGGGCCAGAAACTCCACCTGAAAGTAGCCAGGACCCTGTGTTCCACATGCCTCTGCCCTGGGCCCACTGACTCCAGGAACTGGAGAGGGCCCAGATCTGAAGAGTCGAGTTGTGCCGGCAATAACTGTGGAATGGCCCCAAAGTCAGACCTACCTTGGGAACAAGGTATTGCTGATCCGTGCAGGCCAGGACAGAGGCTTCGGCCCGGCCCAGCTCACTCTGGGGAAAGTGGGCATTCATCTCGTCTCCATCAAAGTCAGCATTGTAGGCTTTGCAGTTGGCATAGTGGAGCCGTAGGACTTTCTCTTCGGGAAGGATGCGGGCGTGATGTGCCTGGATGGAGGGTTTGTGCAGGGTGGGCTGTCGGTTCAGGAGGAGAATGTCCCCGTTTTTCACATGCCGGCACACCTAGGGCAGGGGAGAGAGCAGAAGGGTGATCAGAGGCAACTTCAGTATCATTACAACTATTCTGGGAACTCACCTCCGACTGGCCTGAGTGTGGCCTCTGTCTCATGCTTTATTCAACTAAATAAAGGGGGAATTTTTAGTCTGGAGCAAAACTCTAGAATTCTTTGAGAAATAGTCACTAAGCCTCTTTGGTACTCTGAGAAATAGCTGCTAGCCTAGCACAGCCCTGACCCGGGCTCTGGGCTCAGTGGTATAAGCAACAGACAAGGCTCCAGACCTCTGTCCAGAAACTCTGTCTACTTCAGAGATGCATGCCCTTTCCAGAGTCTTGAATTCCTCAGAAAATTAATTTGAAGAAAGAAATGGATACATCTGAAGACATCATATCTGCATGTAGCTGTAAAACCCCTGGGCTTGAAAGGACTTGGCAGACCTCTAGAATCCCCTCTGCTTACGCATGAGTATGTTATTCTAAGTATAAATTCCACACTTTAGAAATATCTTGCCCAACCTCATATAGCAGAGCCAGGACTGGAACACAGGGTTCCTGATTCCCAGTTCAATGCCCTCTGAAAACATTTTATTACATTCAAAATATTAATGTTTAAATTGCCATAGTCTTCAGGAAAGAAATTTGACAAAGGTGTTTAGAACATTTAAAATTCATTTCCTTTTGGCATTTCAGAAGAAAAAGAGTGCCAATGCAAGACTTTATGAACATTATGTTTACGTGGCACTGTTTATAGTGGCAAAAACTGAAAATGACCTGGCCACCCTACAGAAGGAGCATAGGTGAATAAATCATGGTATATACTATGGAATATTATGCACTGATGAAAAGGGCTCTGTTAAATCTCTCCCAGTCTTGAAGTGACGGCAATAATGTATTCCAGTTAAAAAAAAATCCAGATGCCAGCTAAGGTGCTAGGATGAGGCAATTCAAACCCAATCCAACTCTGTACGTATTTATACACACAAAGGGAAAAGGATGTATGGCTCCTCACCAAGCTGCTACTCTGGGCTCCTTAGGGCCAGGGGCGCATGCGGAAGGCGAGTAAGGCACAGATTATCCTTACATCATTATTATTACCTTTATACATCTTAGTATTGTTCATGTTACGATGAGCAGGTTATTTACTTCTGTAAAAATTTTTTAAAAGATCTTCAAGTATTTTTAAATAAAGCAAAAACTACTAAATGATATGCTCATTGTAGAAGGAAAACAAAATACAGACAAATTTAAAGAAAATAAAAACCACAAGTAATTTTACCCCTTAAAGATAAGCACCATTCACACTTTTTTTCACCAATATGCCACTGGTCATGCCCTCCCAAAAGAACACCTCCTCCCACAAAGTTGACTTTAATATTAGATCTGTTAAGCCTTTTACTGCCTTTTATCTTATATTAACTACCGGGCTTTCTAAATGATGAATAAAAATGATATTTTAAAAAGCAAATGCGTGAAAAACTGCTACCTCAACTATTCTGCAGGCCCCCTTAGCAGCCCAGGGGAATCGTGGAGACTCAGTGAGACCTCCCCCCACCCCAATTCTCCTCTAAATCCCAGCAGATAACAGGCTGAGGGAACAACAAAGTTCTCCAAGGCTACTGTCTTCTTATGTTGTCCACATTTATGAAGCTGTATCAGAAAGCTGGAGAAAGAGAGAGGCTACGGTTAATAAGAGATGTTCCCCACCTCCCTCCTCCCATTCCTACTAATCTAGGCTGAAAGTTTCCCCCAACTCAGTGAAGGAGGGAGCAAACCTCACAAATTCTAAAAGGCAGTTCCAAAAACACTTGATGTAGAGTCAGTCTTTCTGCACCCCAAGGAACTCAAACCTTCCCCTCCCTGCCTCCGCTTCAGTGTTTGCAGGGAGACCTGGACTCTGAGGGTTCCCATGAGCATCTGCCCAGGGCATGTTATTGAGCCTGAGCTGACTTTCAAGGTCTTATTTCTTTAGGCTCTCAAGGGAGTAACTGCCCGACCTGTGGCCCAGGCTCAAAACCCCAGGCTGGGCCTCAGATCTAAGTCTCACAAATTCGAGACATCCTCCAGCATAAGCAAAGCCCATAGCTGGGAAGGCACGCAGGCCAGACTGGCAGGCACCCGCCAATTCAAACAGAAGCCCTGGAGCACAGGGCATTCCCCTCGCCAAACCAAACCTGAAGTCCTTCCTTTTTCATCTGTCTCTAAATAAATACTGCAGTGAAAATTAGCATGCCCCTGTGCCCGGGTCAGAGTTTTCAGAGGCATACCCAGAGCCAAAATCGGCTTCTGGCAGACTGCAGGGCCGAGAAATGAGACTTGGCTGTCCTGCCCACTTCCTCCTCCATTTACGAGGCCCAGGGGAAGGGGCAGAGATTTCATACCTCCTGGGAGACAGGCCCTTCGGTCATCCTTTTCCCTCCTCTCTTAACCCCTCTCATCCTCACTTGGACCTGTGACTTCACCCAGCCCTTTAGCCCTGATCTATACACAATATCACTGACGAAAGTCTTTACAAATTACAAATAAATTATTATAAGTGCACACATATTTGATGCAATTTATAAGTATATATTATATGTATAACGTGATTGAGTTTTTGGAGAATAAAGATAATCATCCTGAGTCCTCAGGTCCTGATGTCAGAACTACTTTTCCTTGATAAAGTCCTTTCCTATCTTTGCCCCTGGGCCTCATCGTCAGGTCCAGCGTGGCCCTCATGCCTCAAAGCCTCCCATGCCTCAGCCTGGACCCATCCACTCCACAGGGGTTTCCGAGTGGTGAGCAGAACATCCTGCTCTTGCCCTCATGGGAACTCAAGGGCAGACAGATGGGTGCATACACAGTGACAATACAACACAATAAGAGCTGTGAGAGGATGAGGGTGTGGTGGGAACACAGTGCGGGGACCACACACAGTTTTGAGAGGGGCAAACTATAGTCCACAGGCAAGTCACCTGTTTTTGTAAATAGAGTTATTTTGGGGAACACAGCCATGCCTATTTGCTTACCACCTGTGGCGGCTTTCACGCTACAACAGCAAGGCTTCAGGGCCCACAAAGCCTAAAATATTTACTATGTGGCCCTTTGCTGAAAAAGTTTGTGGACCTCTGTGCTGGAGGAAGGAGGGCATTGCTGAGAAAAGGACTAGCAGGAGTTAGTGGGGGAGTCCAGGAGAGGGCAAGGGGACAGTAAGCACAAGGCCTGAAGGGGAGAGAGAGCCCTGCATGGACGGGATGGCTGCAGTGTGAGGGGCGAGCTGAGAGGTGAGGCTGGAGGAGGAGGCAGGGACCGTGTACTCATGGCTAGAACTTTAGCCGGAAGACTAGCAACTGGGCCCACCTCAAACAACCTCGCTGCTGCTCAGAATGCATTTCAGTCACTTCCCATGAACTGACCAACGTGGGGCAGTGAGACCAACTGTCCCTCTATAAGCTCCCAAGCCCACTCACCTCCAACCCTATAGCCGTAACTGAGACCATGCAAAGTGGTTTTGTTGCAGCTGCCTCATCCTCACATCCCAATAATGTCAGAAACCCCCATATTCTTATATTTTTTCTTCAAATGTCCTCAGTTATAGCCTTTGCTGCCTTACAAAGGCTCTGAAACCTGGCTCCTTCTTTTTTTGAATTGCTCTTCTAGATCATAGGTGATTTTCATTTGGACAAAAATAATGCGTCTTCTCGGTTTCCTCATTCATCTGAATTTCATATTTATCTCACGAATATCTAATAAGTGCCCCTGGGAGATACAAAGATACCCAGGGGCTGATCTTGACCCAGAGAACCCCTCGCCCACATGTGAGAGGACAGACGCAGACACCACTCTCTTCTCCCTCAGCTTCCTGAGGCCCAACTTCCCAGTTTCCCCCATTTTCTATATTGTACTTTGTGGTTAAAGGATTTAACACTCTAATAATTTCAAGGCTTAACTTTGTGGCCCCTTAATCCAAGCCCTGTACTTCTACCTTTTATGCAAGATGGGCCCTGAGATTCTCCACGATCACCCCTTAGAAGGGCCCAGATGCCACTCCGTCCAGGGCTCTCCCATTCTCCCATTCTGTAAACCATGGCTTCCTTCTCACCTCTCCTCTCTTCTACAGCCCTGACACCCAGCTATCGCCAAGTCCCCCGGCTCTCCCTCTGAAACATCCCCTGCTTTCACCCCTAGCTCCCCAGTAGCCCTCAAGCTGGCCCTCACTTGCTTCCTGATGACTACAAAGCCCCCTGCCAGCCCACCCTACACAATGCCCTCAAACTCCTTTCTTCCTGAGCATCATGTAAATAAAGTCACCGTCCTCCATTGCTATTCCCTATCGTGCCTGCCATAGCACTCAGCAGTCTCATTCCTTAATGGTGACACAGTAAACTCCAGGGTGACAGGATCCTGTCCAAGCGCAGTACGTAGGAGGTAGTGAGCCCTCACTCAGTACCACCTGACCCCACTCTGCTCTCCATTCTCAATTTTCTCTCAAAATTTCCTATGGACACCATTTCAATGTTTGACTTCAGTTAACTGTTAAGTGAAATACACCCTGAATTCACTTACAGTTCTCACACAGCTCCTAGCAAAACACCAGGCACTTAAGGAAGGCAGGAAAACCTGTGAGCCTGAACACAAACCTTACTTAATACACTAGATAAGAACAAATTTGGTGACTTGATTTGTTCCTGCATGTGTTCCCTGCCACCAAAGCAGAAATCATGTGGCATGTTACTGCTCTGCATCAGGAGAGCTGCAAGATGGGGAGGAAGCAAGACGACAAGCTG